AACTTATTTTGGTCCTTACTCTTCTGACTGGATTGAAACAACGGAGATGCAAATATTCTTCCGGGAAAATATGTCTGATAAAAATATAATCCCTAAAAGTTGATCTTTACTTACCTGTAACATTCTGTAAAGAACATGCTCACCCATGTCCTGAGTGCCTGGTTGTGTCTGCCTTTCATGACAGACAATGTAAAATCAGGAGTGAAAGTTGGGTAGCCCAGATCAGAAGCTTTTCTGAGTCTGCAGCAGAGATGTAAATCTGAATTGTTCGGGGCTTTCAGCTCCACCTTCCTCACCCTCTCTCTGTCATTTATCCCATAGGACAATTCTTATTAACACATGATTGCTGAGATCCTGTTTGCACCTGGCATGTAGTAAACTGTTCTTGATGTTGGATTTCATATACAAAAAAAAAAAAAAAATTGGCAAAGATGATGAAAGACCTTCCCTTCCAGGAGTGTTTATGAACATTAGGCTGGCTTTTATTGTGAAAGACAAGAGTGCAGCAGTTCCTAAGGTTGTAGACAGCAAGAAATAAAATGAAAAATGGACCATTTTAATGGAAGAAATGACACCTGCTGTTTGCTGCAGCCTTTGAGACACTCAGGAAGTGCTAAACATTGCAACATACGAATAATCAGGGAGATTGGGGCAGAACTTCTTTAACTCCATACTAACATAATGATTAATTTTGTTTTTATTCATTCTCTTCCTTTAAGGTTATTCTTAATTATCAGTGTGGCAATACATAGGAATCTTTTGCAATGGTATGTATGTTTTGATTTGTTTGAATGATGTGATCTCTATGACAGATACAATAAAGAAACAATTTCTCTTCTGAGATCAGAGTTATTCAAGACAACAAAACTTGGATTTAGAAATGCAAAACTACATCCCTTCATCAGGTAAAGCAAAGTAGGCCTGTGAGGAAGCTAATTCATGTCATGTATATACAGCAAGTCGAATTCCAACTACTACAAAGCTTTCATGTAAGACTTTGCTGACCCAATGGGTGGTGGAATATAAATAGATCAACAGTACACCCTTCCTTCTGCTGTTCTACCTAATCCTTCCTTGTGTTCAGGATTGAAGAGTATTTGATCTATGGAGTCTTAAATCAGACATTGTTCCCTACAAAAAAACCCCAAAATTCAGGAGAATGAAAATTTAACGGTGTAAGAGTGTTCTTGTGATTTTAGACTGAGAAGCTGAATTAGGAATATACTATTGTTCTTCCTTTTTTTCATAGATATTAACTTCACAGAACTGTAACTGCCTGGCTTGCTACTTTACTCTCCTTAGCTACCCCTGCCAGGTGGCTTGACATTAGCCCCTTCAAAAAGAGTAATTGTGTTAAACCTATATTAATTTACTTTCTCTTTTCCAAAAATACTTAAAATGCGCTCTTCATCCTGCCTGCAGGTCTCCACTGCTGCTCAGAAGATGGAGCAGTTTTTATTTTTAGTAACAATATCTCTCATGCTGGGGTGGAAGAATCTTAAACCAATTAAACACATTAGAAGATAACAGTGTGTGTGGGTTTGGTTCAAGATCTCCATTTTCTTCACTCTGGGGTATGCCGTAGTACCAGCCTTTCTATCCAAGATGACAGAAATAATATGATAAGCTGCTAACTAGGTAAGCAGTACAGCTGCTGCCTTGTCAGGTGTTCCCTTGCCAAAAAATCACTTACAATGGGTTTTGCCTTTTTTAACTCCATTACAGTTAAGTTTTATAAATTGTCTCGATTTTGATTTAGGAAATTGTTTTAGATGCCTGTTTCTTTTTAAACAATTTTTAAAAGTATTACTCTCTGGAACATGAAGTGCTTTTTCCAATAGAAGAGGATTGTGTGTGTGCACTTTTAAGATTTGCTTATTCGTTCTTCCCTTTTAATAATGCTTGTTTACTGAGAAAAATGTGTGAACTGGCGAGAGTATTCTGATCTCTTAAAATATATCTGGATCTACGTATTTTTAACTCTGTGTATACACTCTGAATAGCAGGTTGATTTCATTTTTTAACTTGCAGAAGTTGGGAAAGCATGTCCTGAACCTGCACATGCATCTGTCTAGGCCAGAAAGCCTTGGCTACGCTGACCCTAAATGTTTATTCATTTGATATGGAATTTAAATGGGTTAGCAATGTCCAATTGTTTAAATACAAGATACTTTCTGGAAACTGGCATGCGTTGCTGACCTGTGTGCTCTCATCAGTAGGGATACAGTGTTGAGCTTTTTATTTATTCAACTTTAATTTGGCAGTTGGAATACAAAGCATGAAGCAGGCTGTCCTGTATGGATTTACTCTTACAGTGGAACATCAATATAGAATAAAGTCTGATAGCACTTCGTAGAGGTCTAACACTCCAAATGTTGACATATCTAGCATTGTTCAGCATGGCAATGTAACTTGTATCATCTCTCTTGGACTTGACTGAGAGATAAATCCTTGTAGAGAGAAGTGACAGAGGTCAGTAGTCTACAGTAGTTTTTTTTCTCACCAGAAATAGTAGGTCACTATCACTCTATATATTTCAAGTAAGGATAATAATTAAGCCGTGAGGCTACAGATACTCTTTGAAGTGCAATTCTGAAGTAATACGTCTGAAAATGGTAAATGTGGTTTCTGAGTACTCCAAAAATTGATAAGGGAAGAGGGACAGGAAGGCAAGGCAAGGCATGGCAGGGAAAAAGCACGATAGTCCCTTAGAGTACTGGTGTAGCACTTGGAAAGCTGGATCAGTTCCTGTGCAGTGCTGGGTTTGCTCTTCTGGTTAGTGTTTCAGCTCCGGTTCAGAGGTCCTTGTATGCTTCTTAGTTTGGGATGACACAGCCTGTGGCCGCACCTGTGAGCTCATAATTCCCACTGATATTGGTAGTGAACAAGTAGCAAGTAAATGCTTCTAAAGGGGATCATTTTTTTAAACGTAATACAGGTTTTTGATAATCAAGTGCCCAATTTACTGGATTACTGTACAGCTAATAGTCAAGAGTGTTTGCATTGCAGGGTATTGTGAAGATAAATGAATTTGTCAGTGAGATGCTCAGATTGTCTCATTTGTTATTTTTCCCTCGTACATGGCGTTTGATAGATTGCACACTGCTTTCTATGCAAATAGCTTCACCCTGGCTAGTTTCTATGTTTGTCTGTGGGAAGATGTATCGAAAAATGTTGGAATTTTTTTGACATTTTTAATTACGGTTGGGGCAGTTCCATCCTGTGGGTTGTATTGGCTGGGGATTTTGAATTTTCCAGCCAGCACCACATGAAGTGCCCAGCCCTCCTGCAGGTTCTTCTTGCTGTGCTCCTGCTCATTTTCTCTCTCTGACTCGCCTGCCTGCAGCCCCTGTGTCCCTTGGTTTGCTAGCTGGGGAGAAATCTCCACTTTTCAGCTTTCTGCCAGGATATGGAGGTGGCATATGGGGCCCTCCATGGATGATGCTTTCTGTTTTCTCCCCCTTTCCCTCCTGCCTTAATCCCATAACAAGTGGTAGATATTGCGGGTTATAGAACAAGTCTAGAAGGACTTGAGCAGGCTGCCCTGCACTCCCTCTTCCCATGCTCCAAGTTGTTGCTAAGTTTTGGAAGCTGTAAGGCCATGCCTGCATAAACAGACCCTGCGCATGCATTCCCACCTTTCTCCTCCCCCTTGCCCTTTCAGTGGGACGTGGAAAATCTGGCTAGCCTTCAGGAAGGGAAAGGCTCCTCACATCTGTGCTGAAGCAGCCATCTTCCCTTCCCTGCTCCACACACGCAATTTTAAAACAGATGTAACCCTGTAATGCAAAATTTGCTAAAGCATCTGTTTCTTCCCTGGAGCTCTGGAGAAAAATTGATCGATGTGACAAGTTTATCTGAGTCTGCCTGGAGACTGCATATGTTAGAGGATGAGTTCACTGTGCATATCTCTGACAGCTCCTGTTTATACCTACGTCAAGGTCCATATTGTCCTTCTGATGTTACTCTACCTCCCCAGTCAGTTCCTTGAGCAGTTGGTCTCTCCCCTTCTCCCAAATAGTTTCCAGTATCTTGTCTAGGAAGCACTGAGTATGAAGGGTTGCACTGCCATAAACCAGCGAAAGGAAACACCTGGAAAGGTGTTGGCTTGCATGGTCCTATCTCAGAGATCCTGCTCTATTTAGGCTGCTTCTGTGTACGCCGGTGACTCCTGAGAGCCACCCTGAGAGCGGAGCAGGAGGCTGCTGCGGTGCCTCGGGCTCGCTGACAGCTGTGTCCCTGTTCAAAATGGCACCGGGCAGGTGTGCAGGCTCCTTGTCCTCCTGTGTCAGTGTCTGAGTTATGTTATGGGAGAGATTTTTCAAAGGTGTCCTTAAAATCATTATTAATTGTCCCTTTGAAAATGTGAGTATTTCATATTTGCCTATAACTTTAATGACTAATTCACTGATCTGGGCTGTTTGAAAGCTGGCACAGCCTCACTTGTTGAGAGTGAAAAGAGAGTATCTCTCTTTGCTTAGCACTCAGCAGCTGAAGAATTCCCATGAGTGGCAGTTACCAGGTCAACAGCAATAGAACAACCCTTGATCCTAATATTCTGTAAATCAGGAAAACAAGATTGATCAGGTGTTATTCTTTTTCTAATGCTATATGGGAAGCACTTCTTTTTCCAGCATTTTTCAAATGCTGGAGAACAGCAATTGTTTGTGTAGAATTATCTGTTATTGTTAACCATGTTCTTGCTTTGCTGCAGCACAGTGACATTGCCTTTATCCTTTAGAAGCAGTGTAAAATGATAAATGAGGTTAACAAGCTTCAGTCTAAAGTGAAAACTAAATCTGTGACTGTACAACTCTTGTTGCATTCATTCTGGTCAAGGGTTGGTTTGCTCATTCATTTGCTGGGAAAAAGTGTTTCTTTTCCTTGGTCTCCTGAGAATCGGATAACGATTGAAACTCAGCTGGAGTAGCCTATTTTAGGACTTAGCAAAGAATACTAGGCACAGCATTTTTTCCTTAATTGCTTCCCAATCAGAAATTGGATGAACCTTCGGGATGCAGAAACAGGAAAAGTCCTCTGGCAAGGAACAGAAGATCTGTCTGTACCTGGAGTGGAGCATGAAGGTACTGTGTGGTCTTACTGTGCATTTTGGGGCTGGGTGGTGCTGCACGACTAGGTCACCAGAGCTGCGAGCGTACCCCTGCTTTGAAGGACAGATGTCCTGGCTGTGACTTCACACCTTCAGAGGCTTCCACCACAACAACCTGGGGACACATGGAGAAGGGTGAGAGTGGATCAGTGGCTGGCAAAGGGGAGGAGTTAAACAGTGCTAAGCAGGGAGCTCAGCTGGGTGAGGGATGAGTGGCCAACCTTTGCTAGGTTGTGTTTGTTCCAAAATTAAAAGTGTAAAAATATATTGACTTTTCTCAGTATAGCAACAGGGTTTAGTCAAGGTAGAGGGCAAATGTAGAACCAGTGGGGAAGCAGCATACACAGTTATTACCTTTCCTGGCCACAACTGTCTAATATTCTCCTGCACTAAATTTGACCTCTGCTTTAAAATGCTTACATGGCACATTTGCTTTGCTCTGCTCTCCCTCTACCATTCCTAGGAAGGCCTGTTGTCCTTCCAGTTCTGCCCTCGCTGAGTAGCAGAAGACTTCACTTCCCCTTGCTCTTCCCCATTTGTGACAAAGCTCGGTGATTGGTAACATCCCTTGCCAAGAGCTTTGCTTTGGCTCTGTGAGGAGTTTGACCTCACTGAATTAATTTTGAAGTCTCTTCTGTTATGTGAGTACCATAGCTGGTCTCCAGTAAGTGGACTGAACTTGATCAATTAATTATGCTGGTGACATTCATGTATTTTTGGTTAAACATCAAGGGCTGAGTCTGCCCATCACTACCAGGTCTTAACCTCTCCCATAGATTAGAAAACCTGTTGTGTCTGAAGGAGGCAACCAGCATATAAAGATCCTCCTGTGCCCAGAGAGCATACAGAGGATCTGTGACAAAACCGCTGTGAGTCCAGTAGTCTTCCAGCATATACTGGCTTCTAAGCCAGCTGAAGGCACAAGAGAAATAAGTTGCCTTCTCCTCATTTGGTCCCCAGTCAAGATTCATCTGCTTTATGACAAGAGCTCATTAACAGGACCAGTAGGTTGTCTCAGCTTAAAAGGGGGGTGATGCCAGGAGCAGAGGGTGCAGGTCAGAGCTAGAGGAAAGCAAAGCTGTGCCTCAGTGATGACCAAGAGCATTTCCAAGCTTTGTCTCCTTCAGTTCAGAACGTGTACTCCCGTTCTCATACTGGCACTAACAACAAACAGTTCTGCCGATAGGCCTTAATAGATATTTACTCATGCCTATCACACAAGATACCTATATTAAAGAAAAACGTTCCAGCAATTGAAATACAACTTTCAAAAGAAATGTAGTCATTCATCAGTTTAATACTATATTTCTTAAACTGCGGGTAGTGATGCTGTGCCTTGTTGAAATGTCTGTGTAACAGGAGACCCAGGAGAAATGAGGAGTCAGACTTTAGAAAGCCGAAGCAAATCAGCCAGGAATATTCCCAGTTTTCCCAGATTTCATGCTGCAAAAGCTTCTGCTTGGATGCATGACTGGTCTTTGAATCCTCTCCGCTCTGTCTCAACAGCCTGTTGCGCTGCCTTGGGTCAATGCAAACTGCAGAAGGGTGTGCTTTGGGGTGGAGCGGACAGCTGGAGCTGTGTCTCGTGAGGGTTAGTTGTGTAGCCCCGCATCCCTCCTGCCATCTTTCTCACTTTGGCAAATCATATCACCTCACCGCGTCTCAGATTTTCCTCACACATAGAGCAGGAACCCTCACCTCCATCGGAGGAGCTTGGGGAATTAATTAAAGCATATTCTGGCATGAGATTAATGCCCGTTGTACAAGGAATTGTTAAGAACTTATCTGGTGTGCAGTTCAGTCATCTGTCTAGAGGACGGATGACTGCAAACTGGAGCAGGGGCAGAGAAGAGCTATTGGGAGAAACCACCGAAAAGATTACGGATGGGACGATGGTCTTCCTTAGGAGAAGAGAGGAAAAAAGCCATTCTTGTATGGCTTAGCAAGAAAAGAAGGCTGAGATGGATAGATTATTGTCAATAAATAGGCTAAGAAAGGGGAGAGGTATCCAACAAAGGAGGATAATCTGACTATGAATTAAAAGATGGTGTGAGGAAATGTGATTCTGGTACAGTCCTGCAACAGGAACAGTGAGGGCAAACAGTCAGAATAATTGTTTTAAAATGAAGGCCACGTGTGTCTCAAAGTCATCATGCAGTACTTGTGTGTGTGTGTTCTGTGGCTACTGAGGGCAAATCATGGTCTAGACATAGCAAACAAAGAATCAGATATATAGCAGAGTGAATAAAATGTATTTCCTTTAAACAGGGCTTCTATTTAAGTATAGGTTTCTTTAAAAAATGAGCTCTTAAGATTCAAATCATAATACTTTATTAATACCTAAACTTACTATTACCACTTAGATTAAATAAAAATAATATTAATGTTGTATTGGATTGCTACCAAAGGCTTAACATTAAACTGCTGAAAGTAGTGAAAATCACTGCCTGAGCACCTGAAACTGGAATTACCCATCTAAACCAGCTTTTGACAGCAGAAGCTTTTCCATGTACCCAGTTAGCTCAATTCAGTGACAGTGCATTCAAAACTGGGAGGCAATATGGGAGAGGCAAATCTGTAACATTTTGTTTCTTCCAATATATAAGCAAAGTGTGGAGTAGGCTGCTGAGGTCTGCCGCTTGTAGAATGCCCAGGGTTTTTCCCAGTCACCACAGCCAGCTTTCATTCAGGAAATAAATATAATCCTTTCATTATCTAATAAAATATATAGTTTAAAAAATAAAATAAATTTGGCTAAGACAGCTTTCTTTCTTTCTTACGTGTCCCAAATATTTATGGTAGCTTTATTAAACTGTATGAAAACATAATGATACAGATATTTTAATTGCTTTTCAGTTTGTAACTAAACGTGGTTGGACCCAAAATGACTTGCTGAGTTAATAAAAAATGTGTCATTCATCACTTTCTAATCGAATCAGAATTAAGTATCTGACTAAATATATGTTAGCTGTATAAGTGCTTAAATAAATGTGCAGGTATAGGTTATCCTCAAGTTAACAAAAAGTAGTACTAAATTTAGGAGAAAGTCTATGCTTACCTGCATTTCAGCATGTTTTAGACTGGTCCTAACTGATGAGAATCAAACTTTTTTCTCTTCTATTTTTTTCATGGAAGAAAAGAGGTAAAAGAGTAAAATGAGTTTAAAATAAATAATTTCAATTAAAATTTTCTACTTCATAGTATAAATATAATTTTAAGTCTCTTAGATCAGGGGTTTAAAGACTACGTAGTCCTGCTTTTATTAAAAGTAACCTCTTATTTTGTAGTTTGACAATATTAAAGCAAACATTCTCAGCAGTCTGTCTTGGGGATGAAAGAAATATAATTACTAAATTGCAGAATAGTTTTAAGAAGTCATTTTACGCTTAACTGCAAAGGGATGTTTATTCACAACAGGCTGTAGTCTGTACTTGTGAGGGCAGTAATGGATGGTGCCATGTAGATTTCTATGTTGAAAAAAAAAGACTAAAAATAATTAGAGAGCTTTTACATTTAAAACTCTTCCCTTACACTTTTAACTTTCTTTTTTACATTTTTTTTTTCTTTTTAAACAAACAGTGGGCTGTGTACTTCTCCATGGGATAGGACAGTAGCTTACATTCCCTAACCCTTCATCTCTCAAGATTGGTTTCATATCAAGGTCCCACTCCGTTAAACTGTTCTACGTTAGATGGATTTGCCTGGGGTTTGGTAGACTCTTCCTTTTATTAAACAGCAGCCTGCTGTCTGCTCGTGGACCTTTTGATACACTTTCCATTTAGGAAGAGTTTGGCTCACAAAGCACATGCCAGCTGTATTCCCTCTCCTCTTTATTTCTAATAAATTTACATGAAACATTTTCTAATACACAGGAAGGATTATGTACAATCACACCACTGAAGCATGACAGGCGTGGGAGATTTTTAGTATATTGACTCCCCCCAGTATTCTCCTGATTAGGACCTTTCAGCATATTAATCAATGCTCCCACACTGTCCCTTCTCTTACTCCTCCACCCTAAAAAAAGCCTTATGAAATATCCACCAGGTACAGTGTGCCACTTGCTGTTGGTGGCAGCAAGAGCCAATACCTTGGGTTGCCAGATTGCTCTCTCTTAAACTCTGTAGTTTGGTACTGACTTTACTGCCTCTGTGGGCCTCAATGTTTGGGGAACAGACATTTTGTATGCTTTTACAGGATGACTTCCCAGAGCTGTGTGAGATGGCTGAACCAGTGCTGGGCTGAGGAACAGCCGGTTGTGGTTTGCTGGGGATGCGCAGTCTGAAAGGGGCAAAGCGAGAAGGGCTAACACGCTGGGTGTACTAAGCAGCCCTTCGGCTGCTTGTGATCTTCAGCACGCTTCCTAAAGCAAAAATTTAAGTTGCATCTCATATTTTGACTTGAAGAATTCTGAAGAATTCATGAACAGCTGAGAACCAGGAGTCTGAGAGATCAGTGTTGTATCCTTGGTTCTATCACAAGTTTCATTCCTGGCTCTGAGCAAGGCAGTTAACCTGTTTGCACCTTGGAGTTCCCTCCTGCAAATGTAAAAACAAAAAGTCCTTTGTGTTTGCATTTCTCCCACTGCTATGGTCTTGTATTAGCACTGATCAATATTTCAAAGTATATTATAATAGCACCTGAAGCAGCTGAGTTTGTTTTATTGTGTCCCAATAATACTTTTCTATCTGTTTCACAGCTCGAGTTCCTAAAAAAATCCTGAAATGCAAAGCAGTGTCTCGGGAGTTAAACTTTTCCTCAGCAGAACAAATGGAAAAATTCCGACTGGAACAGAAAGTGTATTTCAGAGGGCAGTGTCTAGAAGGTATGTGTCTGCCCTATGTGCAGTCCCGCTGCAGCGCAGGGAGCGACCCCCAGCACGGTGGGGATTAGAGAAACTAAAATGGGTTGAACGTGGTGATTTTAATTTTTCAGAGTAGCACTGAAGCACTCGTCAGGACTAATGGGCCACAGTATTAGGGATAGCATTTCATAAGTGTATTAACACTTCATTATGTAAGCGAAAAATCTGGGTAATCGTGCTTCGGGGCATAAATCCACCGCAGGCTGCCTGTGGCGAGGAAGCAAGTTGTTTGAGAGTCACCCATTGCGGGGATTCACCCATCTTCCCCAGAAGCACTGAAGCACTGGGGAGTGCTGGCCACCACCCGACTGGAGGCCGGACTGAAGGAGCCCCTGGTTTTCCTTGGTTACAGCAGTGCCACCGACTGTCCTCCTCGTGACTCCATAGCTGCACATCTGATCTCCCTCACTGCAGTATTACTCTTAATCTGGGGTGGAGGAGGGGGAGATAAAGCATTGAGCTCCTTGTCTTTTGGGCAACCAGTTGTACACTTAGTCTCACTGGGTCCGGGGGATGTCTGCAAGAGGGGGAGTGTGGTTTCCCTGTTCCCAATTAGGTGTGATGAAATTTCCACTGAATGCTAAGGAAGTGGTGTGCCTTTATCCTTACCATCAGCTAGTTTAGAAAGGGAGTATCTGCTTTAAGAGGAGGGCAGGGTTCAGTGCAATTTAAGCCGTACAAAGTAATTTAAATGTGAAATGTTGGCAGCACAGCAGGACAGTTTAGGGAGTTCCCCAGCCTGTCAGGTGAAAAGCAAAAGGGCCATTTGTGGATTTTATCTTCTTTCAAACGCCTCTGGATCTTCTTTTTACTTTGCAGAATGGTTCTTTGAATTCGGTTTTGTGATTCCTAACTCCACAAACACTTGGCAGTCCTTGATAGAGGCAGCACCTGAATCACAGATGATGCCAGCTAACGTTTTAACGTGAGTGCCTTGGGCTTACAGAATCGGAGAGCAGGCAAAAAAAAAAAGCAGCCTGTGGCATTTCCTTGGGGGCCACAGTGGGAATGAAGAGAGGGAGCTGCTACCAACTCTGAATCACCCTCACTACTGTTGGCTGTTGAGAGATTAAAGGGGCTAAGCCAGCCTCATTACCTTCTTTCCCATAGGTCCAATCTGCATTAATACAGCAATAAAAGTTTGGAGGAAGTGGAACTGATCCTTTATTAGAGTTGCTTAGTTTTTTGAAAGGTGAGCCGTGAAAAGATTTTAAAATGCTTTGCAGCTTAATACCCCTTACATCCGGAGGAAAAAAAAGAGATGTTTGTGCCATTTTCAAATCCAACTGTTGATCACTGACTCTTGTCTAAGGTGGTTGCTCTTCATGCAGTAGATGACCTATGGGAGGTGGTCTAGCATTTGTGTCATCACTGTGCCATTTTGCCAAGCTTTGTGGCTTTCATACTGGATTATAAACTCTGTGTTTAGTCATATGGAGTTGTATCTGGGGATAAAATACCCTTCACAGGTAGGAAACAGTCATTTTGCAGTCACCTGCAATGGGATTCACACACCTGCGTCAGAAACGTCTACTCCTGGCCGCTGTTTGCACATTGACTTCTGAGTGGGTCAGCAATCCCTAGGACTTGTGTCAGAATAATGCGTGCTGGGCATCGCTCTGAGTGTGGGCAGCAAGGCAGAAGCTTTGAGGGGACGACGGAAAAGGCTCCTTGAGGGAGGCCCCCAGGAAGCCGTAATCCCTGACAAAAAGCCACCCTCCCTGCAGTGCTAGATGGGTGCTGGCAAGCACGAGGAGCGCGTTGCCAGCAGAGACAGAAGGCTGTGGGAATCCTCCTGCCAACAAGAGGCGGCCAGTCTCACCGCAAGGTCACTGTGTCTTCTGGAAGACCTTCCCCTCCAGCATTTTCCCTCTCGCTCGCTGTCTGGAGGAAAGCCAGTCACGTAGAGAAGGCACCGGGATGGGAACTACCACCACTGATTTCTATTCACAGCACGCTTCAAAGAGAGAGCGGACTCAGAAGAGAGCGTCCGTGACCAAACAGTGCTCCCTGGCACAATCCGCTCAGAACCTCGTAGGTGCTACACCGGTCCTCGGCTCCCAGAGGTGGTGGCTTCCACTCAGTACAGGAGGAGCCAGATTTGGGAATCAAAGAAACAAAGACATCTGACAAGTCGGTTTTGACCATCTCGGGAAATCAAGGCATTTTCAGGACTGGTACTTGTGAGAGTCCAGTTCTCAAGTGACCTGGAAGATTTTCCAGTGTCCCTTTCTTTCCCTGGAGTCTGTCCACCTGTTGTGGGCAGCCCAGATCTCTCTCCTATTCACAGAGGTGTTCTAAAGTCATTCTTGAGGCTTTTCAGTAGAATCACCAGCCCAAAGAAGTCCAAAAGTTTTTTGTGGCCCAAAGAAAACAGCTTTTTTCAGCTGCCAAGACTTGAAGAGCTCCTCACTTTCTGATATTCGCAAAGACCTCATGTTTGTCTTGGTGTTTCCATAGCAGGAGAGAATGGAGATGTGGCATTTGGTGCTAGCCAAGGCACTCTGCGCAAAGGATTTCCAGCATGACTGAGTATCAGACTGAGAACATGCCCTGACATTGCAGTTCAAGCCACAAGTTCACACCACAGCAAAAACCTTACGTTCTTGCCAGGTTGAGCTTTGCCAGTGTTGCAGTGGAGATGGAACTGCTGCTTTGATTTTCAAGAGCCGGGTTTAGCCCTGATCAGATCACGCTGCTCCGGTGTCCCAGTGTGGTAGTGGCTCCAAAGTTCTTACTCTTGTCTATCAAAATCTCAAAGTCAGCAACTCAAATTGTCCGAGCGTTCGTCACACCCAAATCTACACTCCCGTGGCAGTTTGTATAAAATATGCTTGTGCATTTGCATTTAAGCACTTCTTGAGGGAAATGACATGTTCAGTTGGTTGAAGTAGCTTGCTCAGCACTAGAGGACAGAGATGGGGAATAAAAAAAGAATTCCCATCGGTTTTCACAGCTCACTGCAAGAGAGAGAGGCCTGAAGGTTCTGGGACTGCTGGTTTATTTTTAGCAGTAGCTGTAGCAGAAGTTTGCTGTTTGCAAGCACTCTGCAGCCTGCGTGGTACAGAGCCCAGAAAGGGGGGTAGGGGAGGGGTGGGGGAGCTGCTCCACAGAGGGATGCGGTGGAGACCCTTCAGCCCCGGCGCCCCCGGATCGGGGGACGGTGCTCACTGCGTGTGGCTCCGAAGCACCGCTTGTGCTGCAGGGGTTGAGACGCCAGCCCAGGCTTGTGAGAGCATGGAGAGGAGCAGTCGTTTTCTACTGTTCAGGCACTCTGCTAACATGTCTTCTTTCCCTCTTTTCCTCCCACAGTGGTAATGTTATTATAGAAACCAAATTCTATGATGATGATCTTCTCGTAAGCACTTCCAGAGTGAGACTTTTCTACGTTTGAGACGGGGCTTTTTGGAGCTGTTTTAGTTTTCCTCCGTACAGTTCTTGGTGCAGAACCCCCCGACTATCCAGTGGAAGACACTCCTGTAGGCGGTGACCCTGGGGACCAGCTCAGCCTGGGTTGTGATTTGCCCATCAGTTATTTTGCTTTCTCCTCTGACAAGACCAGACCAGACCTTCAGAGGCAGGACCAGCTGCTCAGCGACGCACTGGAGAACAGAGGCTGTCTCTGAACACGGGCAGACGACGGTCACGCAGAACCGATACTGTAAATTATGTTAGTCTCATCCTTTGTACTTCTCTGGATCCTGCTCTGATTTCCTGTTTCCACTCACACCAAACTCGCAACACCTTTCATTTTGGGGTGATTAAGTTAACCTTTCCATTTTTCTCATGTTGTAGGTTTTTATCCTTTCACTGGATTTCTGTGTAACTGGTCCACACATCCTCTTAACCCGAACTTGTAAAATAGACTGTGATATCGCCTAATGTAATTAAAACAAATTTCTCAATTAAAACATTCCTACCGTCCAAAGAAGGGAAGAAATGTTAGGTCTGTGCGTTTTCCTTTCTGTTGTAAAATTGCCTCACAGTGGATACGAACTCCTGTCCCTCAGGCCAGCAGGAGAGCAGGGCTTCCACGGCCCCCGTATCCTGGTTGAATCTCTCTGCCTCCAGCTGACCACGCAGGAGAGGTTTCCTGACTGCTCTGACCAGGGTTTCTCCTTGGCCTCATTCCTGTCCGTTAATCCCTCGGGGCAGTTTGTCCTGTTTGCCCAGTCACCAGTTTCCCGAGCAGCGCTGCGTGCCGTTCTGCTTTTCTACATTCCCGGGGACACTCAAACCCCTTTGGAAAACCTGTGTTCCCCTGAGCCTGCCGGCATCCGCCCTGTGCTGGGCCGAGCTCCCTGAGGCGCAGCTGGGCCTG